CTCGGTCGTCCCCCGCGCCACGTTCCACTCGCACTACCCCCTCCTTACAACCCCCCGCGCCGCGATCCATGGGACACTATCACCTGGGGCAACGAACCGTCAACACCACGTCGCACCGCCTACGGACCTGCCCCTGAACTCCGTGAACCCACCTTCGTCCCAGGAACCATCCCTGGGACTAACATCCCACTCTCCGAAATTAGGGATAGAGAATTCCTGGCGCTGATGCTGACCACCGCAACAGAAGAAGAAACAGAAGAAGCAGCAACGGAACCAATCCCCGCACCTGACGAAGACCCTGAGGAAGCACGCACACGCTACATGCGCACCTCTGGCTTCCGCGGTGACGACACACTCTGGCACCAGCGGCTCGTCCACCCTTCCCGCGCAACGCTGAAAAACTGCATCGACGCAGGCGTCTTCGCTCCTGGCGCACTTCTGCGCCCCGATGGTTCCGAAGTAAGCGGCACGACACACCCGCGCAGCTGCACCGTTTGCCCTGAAGCTGCGCTGAGCCACCAACCCTTCCCGCTACTCGAACCTGGAACGAATCGCTACCCCAAGCTGCACAAGGTGTACAGCGATTTCCTGAACGTGGGGCATTGCGAAGTCGAAGACGAAATGTACACACTCACCTTCATCGATGCCGGCACGCGCTACGTGTGGGTCGTGAATGTGGAGACGCGCGACAGAGCATACGAAGTATTTCGGCTTTGGCTGGCGCATGCGGAGAGGCAATCCGGGAAGAAACTCAAGATTTGGCAATCTGACGGCGCGGCAGAATTCAGGAGCAACCAGATGCAGAACTTCCTGACACAAAAGGGGATCGAGCACCACATCTCTCTCCCCTACGCGCACCAACAGCAGGGTGTAGCCGAACGGACCAATCGCACACTGATGACGAAGGTGCGTGCGCTAATGAAGCAATCGAAATTGCCGCCGATCTACTGGACCTACGCGATGCATCACGCCGTGCGGGTGCACAACCTGCTCTCGACCACCGCAATCATCGGCAACCTTTCCCCGCACGTGAAATGGAGTGGAACCAAAGGGGACACCTCCATGCTCTGAGTATGGGGGTGCATGGTCCAATACCGCCCGCCGACCTCAACCATCGGCAAGTTCGCCAGCCGCGCACTGTGGGGAATCCACCTCGGCATCAGTCACGAGCACAAAGCGTGGATCGTGCTTGACCTCCTCAGCCAGAAAAACACTCACGCCCGCGACGTCATCTTCTACGAGCGTCTCTTCCTCGACCAGTTCCGCCGCGACGAGCAGACAAATGCAAATCGGGTCTACGCCAACGACGGTCACAGTTACGCAACGCCCGAAGACGAAGCCGCTGCAGCAATCTTGGAGCAGGACACAAGGGGGGACTTCGCATGGGAAAACCGGCGCAGCGACGACGACAATGATTCCTCAGGAAGAGGAACAGGCAGAACAGGCGGAGGCGGAACAGGCGGAAGCGTCAGAGGTCCAACACCGTCAACACCTGAACCGGAGAGTGACGATGACGATGTGCAGGAAGTCATCCCGCAACGTCGCCACGACAGCACCATCTCAGGGCTGCAGCTGCTCGGACTTCACACCGCAATCTCACAGGCACCACGCATCATCGAGCCCCGAAACCCGCGCGAAGCACTTTCTGGACCACATAGCAGGGAATGGCGTGAGGCGATGGACATGGAAATCAAGGCGCTAGAGTCACGCGATACCTGGGTGCTCGTCGACCGCGCAGCAATCAAAGGCGCAAGAATCCTCTCAGGAAAATGGGTCTTCCGCGTAAAAACTGCAGCAGATGGGACAATCGAGCGCTTCAAAGCGCGTTGGGTGGTTCGCGGCTATGACCAAAGGCATGGGATCGACTTCGACCAAACGTTCGCCCCAGTCAGCCGCCACACCTCCGTCCGCATCCTGCTCGCCATCGCAGCTGCAAGACACCTGCCACTCCGCCAAATCGACGTGAAGAACGCGTTCCTGTACGCGTTAGTAGACGCCGTGATCTACGTAGAGCAGCCACACACCTACGACGAAGGAGACTCGCGCGTATGTCAGCTGCGCAAATCACTCTACGGGATCAAGCAGGCGCCAAGGCTGTGGCAGCAGTACCTGCACAACATCCTGCTCGAAATCGGGTTCAAGCAAATGCCACACGATCCTGGAATGTATCGTCGCGACTCTCACGGCGTATACATCCTCCTCACTGTGTACGTCGACGACCTGCTTTACACAGGCTCAAACAACGAGCTCCTCCAGCAGTTCGAAAAGACTCTGGCGGGGCGCGTCGACATCACATGCAACTACGAGGTGAAGCAGTTCCTAGGCCTCAACATCACCTACGCGCCCGAAGCCATTCACCTTTCAGCAGCTAAGTACGCAGAGGAGTTAGGGAAGCGGTTCAACATTTCACCTGCACCTCTCTCAACTCCCTACCGAAACCCCGGACCGAACCACAAACCCGACGCCAAAGCCCTACCCCCTGCTGGGATTCAAACTTATCAACAGCAGTTGGGATGCCTCCTCTTCGCCTCTGTCACCTGCAGGCCAGACCTCTCGTACATTGCAAGTCAGCTGGCGCAATACTTGCGCAAACCAACGGCTGAAAACCTTCTGGACCTACAACCCGCCCTCCAATACTTCGTTTCAACGCCTAAGATTGGGCTGCGTTACTCCACTGCACCAACCCCATCCTTCAATCTCACCGGCTATGTGGACGCCGATCACGCAGCAGATCCCGATAATCGACGGTCCAGGACTGGATTCCTGTTCCGACTCGAGCCTACGGGACTAATTTCCTGGAACTCGCAGAAGCAGGAGTTGGTTGCCCTGTCATCAGCGGAAGCGGAATTCATCGCAGCAGTTCGCGAAGGCCTCTATCTGCAGGAACTCCTGCAAGAGGCGAAAATTCCAGCTTCGCCGACATTTCGTCTTCACTGCGACAACCAGAGTGCGATTCGCATCGCGAACAAACCTGGCTTCGTTAACCGCACCAAGCACATCGCGCTGCGGTACTTCTTCGTGGAGGATGAAATAGACAAAGGCAAGGTCAACTTGACCTATTGCCCAACAGGCGACATGGCAGCAACTTCTGCTATTGAGGTCAAAGGGCCCACCAACACTACCCACTGCGTGCGAACCTACGAGAGTAGATCCTGGGTTACGATCAACTTTCTGATCGCAACACAGAGAATATGAAGAGACATAATTGTAACTGTTTTACTGTTGCGGTTCGATACAGTGCGACTCGGGCAACTGCTCAATGTCGAGTCAGTTGTGTGTCCTTGCTGTCGCGCTGCGTCAGGTCAAAGGTCGCTGACCTTTGACTTTCTCGTAACCTCTAGCGGTTACGTTAACCTCCGAGGGTTGACTCGCGGTACTTCGATTTGAGCTGCTTCGCTTGTGTCTTGAGTTTCGACACGACAGAGGCGCTTAAGACTATTTGTTCCCAACAGGTGTGAGGAATATGAGCTGTATTAACTTACCCCAGTATTTATGTTCGTTCATCTCCTGTTATAAATTCAATTTAAATATGCACAATTGCTGTGTTTGCAGAAGTTGCAAAATCTGTACTGGAACCTATGATGTTATTGGCATGAACTCTTACTTCGAAATGAACCACAGAAAACCGCAGGCCCGACAAACCACCCTCAACTTTATCGCTCCCCTCCCACCTTGAACCCCTCCCTCCATACCTCACTCCCATACGTGACGTCCAAGCTAGGTGATAAAGTCGAACCAACCGCTCATCATCCCGCAAATCTCTAGGCCTGTGAAGTAGGTTCGGGGAACCATACCGCGTGTGCCGAGACTTTCGTCGGGATACAAACCTTACCTCTTTCCCGCCTTCTATATATTCTTGTGCCGCTCGGTACTCCCGGTTGCGGCGCATACTCGAGCGGTACGCGCTTCCAGTCGACCCCACCTTGCTGGCACAAGCAACACGTGTCGTTCTCTGAATCGTCGCTAATGGAGGCTCGCGCGACACCCCGATACCCCCAAGGCCAGCCGACGATGTCGCCATGGGCTCCGATTGTTGCCAGCACTCGCATCGCAAGCCCACCCTCAGGCGTTGCAAGTTCGCCCAGAGCGACCATCAGCTGGTTCCCCCCTGTTTGCCTCACTCCCTCTGCCACCCTCTTAACCTCCCGGGCCTCTCGTCGCATTCCCTCGCTCGCTCACTCCCACTCGCTTCTCAGGCGACGCTCATCAGAGTCGCTGTACCCAACAGACGGAAATAGTATAAGTAGGCCTTCAGAAATTCATTTCATTCATCAGTCTCGATTGAAGCTACCTGCAAGTTCTTTTACCTTGCTCCCTCGTTACTATCAGCTGTGTAAGCCTGCTTGATTGCTCATAATCTCGCGTACAAGCTCTGTCGCGGAAACCTTAGCCTTCCTTCCTTATTCGTCCGTCAGCAAAATGGCCTGCGTCGGTGCTGAGAGTGCCTGCGTGGACGTCGATGCTCTGTTCTCGAGCTGCTGGGAGCAGAATGACTCTCTCACTCGCTTCGTCTGCAGCATTGTTGCAGCTCCACGCCTGGTAAGAACCACTCCTCCACGCCATTCGCTTCAGTTCTCGCAAACCCTCGTCCTCTTTACGAGCAATGTTTTGTCCATATTTAAAATCGGTTGTTTTCTGGTTATGTCATGACGCTTCTCGTAAACAGCAGCTAACCTATCTCTTTTTCCTCCTGCAGGCCGTCTCCAGCTGGATCAGGTCGTGCGAGCAAGCAGCAGTGGAGGTGCAGTCGGTTCCCGCTCTCCCTGTTGTCGCTCTTCCTGTTGCCGCTCTTCTGGAAGAAGCTGCGTCAACGGAGTCAGATGGAGAAATCATCCACCATTCCACTGAGGCTGGCAAGGCGGACGCTGCAACTGTGACTGTTGCCGTTTCAATTCAGGCTGAGGAAGCTGAGGAAGAAAAGAAACCGTTGGCGTTAAAAAGGAAAGTGTCTTCGTTCCTGGAGCTCCTTGCTCAAGAGAATTCAGTAGCCTCTCCTACTGTTAAGGCTGTTGCTTCCTCAGCCAAGGTTGCGGCCTGGTTGGGTGTGGAGCAGGGTGGGAAGGAGGGAGCAGAGGAGAGCAGCGGGTGTTGCAGCTTGAGTCGCAGTGAGAGCAGCTGCAGCAGCCGCAGTGCGTGTCTCATCCACCTCTTCTCGGACTCCTCCTCCTCCTCCTCCTCCTCCTCCTCCTCCTCCTCCTCCTCCTCCTCCTCCTCCTCCTCCTCCTCCTCCTCCTCCTCCTCCTCCTCCTCCTCCTCCTCCTCCTCCTCCTCCTCCTCCTCCTCCTCCTCTACTGATAGCCTCTGCAGCAGCCGCACTGGCTTGACGAAGGAGGTTGCTGGTGTGAAGAGGGGGACTGGCCGAGGCGTTTCCAGGATTGGGAAGGGATGCGATCCATCCACTGCTTACCATTTCGCTGAGCTCTTGGCAGCTGAGGAAAAATTAGTGAAGAGTGGGATGGGTAAGGGTGTTTTCTGCAGTGGGAAGGATTGGAGCACGGATGTGAAGGAGTTTGGGAAGGTGGAGGAAGGACGGATTGTCTCAAACCAGTTGTTTGGGTCTGATGATGGGGAGGAAGAGGAGGAAGAGGATGGCAGTAGCAAGCAAAGTTTCAGGACCCTTGGGACTGGAACGATGTGCTACATGAATCAGCTGTATATGGATGAGGAAGAGGAGGAGGAGAGGGAGGCATTGGCAATGTCAGGCATCTCCGTTGGCATCGGCAGGTTTGGGGCCAGACGAAGAATCACTGGCTCTAGCAGCCGGGTCACTCTCCGCAGAATGAGCAATGCTCTGCGACAATTTTAGATTAGTCTCATTGTTGCTGTAACAGTTGTGGCTGGAACCAGAGGTAAATGGACAGTGCACATAGAACAGCAGTTAGCGTGGCTGAAACCAGAAAATCTGGATTGCCACTAGTGTACAATGTATATAATTTTTTTTACTGTAAACACTTGATCATGTTGCATGTGTAGAATCCGTTCATGTCTGCTGCTAACAAATGAGGAACAACACATGTCTGAATAAGTTCAATGCCACCATCCCTGGAGCCATTCAGGAACAGCAGCACCTAGGGAGCTCCAGCCTTCCAATTCGGAATGCTCCATGTTGCATCGTTTATCATGGAAACCAGCTTGAACTGAAATAATTGAAATGTGAAGTGGAGGGACAGCTCCACCCGCACGGATGAGGAAGTGTGGTAAGAGAGAGCTACTTGCTTACGAAGCGAATTAGGGATCCATTGCAACAGGAGAGCATGATTGGTGCAGACAAGAGTGTCGAGTGTAGAAAGAATAGAGCCTAGAAATCTGACACAAAACACCAGAAGGTTGCACAAGCGGCTATGCTTACAACAGAAGGGGCAGCTCCTTTGGGTGGGAGGGAGAGGTTGCGAGGTGGTGCTGTGTTGAAATCCCTCTTGTCAAAGTGCCAGGGACCCACCACCCCTGGAGTCATTGTTCCCTGTGATGTAAGGCAAGAAACATTTAGGCAGGAAAAACAGGAAGGAGAATGTCATGAGACGTTTGGAAAAGGTGCTGTTGCGTTTGTTTGTTTGTCTGATTATTTTTCTTCTTCATATGGTTTGTCAACGTATTATGTATCCACCTCCGCTCGGGTGACCTTTTGCCTGGGATGAAGAGTGAGGTGGTAAAGCAGGAAGGAAAAAGGATAGCTGGGAAATTGACAATTGACATTCACACACCAAAGGGTAGTTCATACTCTGACATTCAGGCAGAAATTTGAGACTGATTTGCAACTTTACTAAAGAAATTGTAACACGATCAGGGTCAATTTGGTTATATTCACGATGCTGGAACTACAACGTGGTTATTAAGTTGCCCAGATGCAGTTGCTCCACGGATATCCATGTTTCAGAACCGGAGTTAGGGTCGAGATGCAGAACAGCTTGGGATTTGAAACTCCTTGCTTCAAGGTAGAAGTTACCAGTGGTTATATAATGGATGAGGTGACAAGTGCAGTTACATACATTTAAGGCAAAGTCACAGCCGTATGTGTAGTGGATGAGGTAGGAGTCCCCGGGCTCAGTATCCCATGGCGGCTGCAGCATTCAGCATATGGCATGCCCACCCATGCACCAAACACCGCGACCATGCACCATGCACCATGCAGCACACACCATGCACCAAACACCGCGACCATGCACCATGCACCATGCAGCACGCACCATGCACCATGTAAGGAAGGGGTGGAGAGAAAGAAACGCAAGGTCAAGTGGAGGAAGCGGAAAACCCAGGTCAAGCAGGCAATAAGGATGGCAACACAATCAATGATTTGTGAAGCTTAGGAGTGAAACAAGGAGAAATTGTGACCCGTAGGCTTGCTGTGGTCAAATCTCTTCCTATTCTTGGACAAGTAAAAACGTATCGGATGGCTGACTCGGCTTTCCACGCAACGAATGAGTACGAGGCAAAAGAAAGAAGAAAGAACTAACAGTGGAAGCATCCCAATCAATAAATAGGCACCGTATCAGCGGCACCGTTACCATTGAGGTCGTTTTTGAGGCGCCTCAGATTCTGGTTACAAAAACGACCTCAATGCATCCCAATCAATAAATAGGCACCGTATCAGCGGCACCGTTACCATAACCATGCAAATAGTCAAGTCAAACAAATTCCCCCTGAACCACCTGATCGAGGCAAACAACCACCTGATACATCTGTGAAACCACCTGAAGCGCGCAAATAACCACCTGGATCATCCACATGCGGTGTAGAGTGTGCTGTATCCCCAACAGAGCAGCTGACGTGGCATAACCGTACCTGGAAGAGATTAAGGAGAGGGGTAGGAGTAAGGGAAGGGGGGAGGGGAGGGGGAAAGGAAGCGGAGGGGTGACGAAGGGGAGGAGGGTAGGGGACAGGTGGAGGCGAAAGGACGGAAAGGGGGAAACGAAGGGCAAGAGGGAGCAGTTCTAGAGTTTCTTATATTTTGCAGAGAACAAAGGAACGAGGTGAGAGAGGCTATGGATCATGCTTGTTACTACTAATGCACACACTCTCACACACACCCCATGCACTCTCACACACACCACTCGCACACCACTCACACACATTTCCAGCACCCATCCGAACGCCTTGTCAGCCACTGGATCAGACTTCATCTCGAGAGTCACGTTGTGCCACAGCGGGGCGAGGCGACGCAGCAAGTGCTGTGGAGGGGGAGGGGTAAAAGAAACCGAGGGGGGGAAAGGACGGGCATATGTTCATGCGTGCTGCCTTGCCAGCCACTGCATCGGCCTTCATCTCAAGAGTTACATTGTGCCACAGCGGGGTGAGGCGACGCAGAAAGTGGGGGGAAGGAGAAGGGGAGAAGAGAAAGGAGCGGGGAAGAGGGGCACATGTGCATTCGTGCAGTCTTGTCAGCCGCTGCTCTGCCTTCATCTCGAGGGTCACTTTGTGCCACAGCGGGGCGAGGCCCAAACCTAGTGCTGTGGGAAGAAGAGAGGGCAGGGAGAGGGGGCATAAGCACAGAGGCATATGTGCCTTGATGCTGCAGCATCTGCCTCTATCTCGAGAGTCACTTTGTGCTACAGAGGGGCGAGGTGACGGAGAAAGTGTTTAAGAAACAGAGGCGTGCGGCAACTGGCGGGAGAGGGCAGAAGAGGGCAGGAGAGGGCAGGAGAGGGCAGAAGAGGGCAGGCCAGGGCAGGCCAGGAGAGGAGAGGGCAGGTACTTTGTTGAAAATGAAAACAAGAAGTTGCAAGTAAAAGAGAGAAGCAAGCAAGGCGCCTTGTGGATGATGACAGGAGAGAGCTGCAAGTTGCAAGTTGCAAGTAAGAGCCGTATCTAGTGCCCCGTCTTGGCAGTGAGCGGACGAGAGAAACAAGGCAGAGCAGGATAATGACGGGGCGAGAGGCGAGAAGGGTACCTTGTGGATGATGGCAGGTTGGCAATGGGGTCGATTCATGAGGGAACCAGCATTGCAGCGCCCCTGATAGTGTAAGTGTGGTCTTGAGGATTCTCACGAACAGCCTGCAACAGCCCTTACCTTGTGGATGATAACGGGGGAGTTGCCGATGGGGTCGATCTTGTTGATGGGGCCGCACTGAGTCCAATCAAAAGTTACCGATATGCGTGAGGCAAGCAGCAAGGCGGGAGAGGACTATGCATGGGGCGAGAGGCGAGTAGGGTACCTTGTGGATGATGACAGGGGAGTTGCCGATGGGGTCGATCTTATTGATGGGGCCCTTTTCCGGAGGGAACCACCGGTGCAGTGCCGCTGGTGGTGGTGGTGGCAGTAGGTGTGGGGGCAGGATAGGATAGGCAACACGTGAGGCCAGCCAAACGTGCATGTGTGCCCTAGAGCGTCGATCTTGCTAATGGGACCCTTATCCAGGAGGCAAGAAAGTCGATCTTATTACTTTTACCTTCTCTTAATTCTCTTCCCTTCTTTTTAGTTCTCGTTACAGTCCCATCTCGTTACATGCTAACTCCCGCACAGTCCTCAGCCACCCGTCCTCAGCCCCCCACCGCGGAATCCCGCAGAAATTTGTGCGGCGGGAGGCTGAGGACGGGGGGCTGAAGACTGTGCGGGAGTTAGCATGTAACGAGATGGGACTGTAACGAGAACTAAAAAGAAGGGAAGAGAATGAAGAGAAGGAAAAAGTAACAAGTATGGTTCATACTGTAATATAAGTGCAAAATCTGACATAAAATTCCAAACCCCTACTGCTCCCTCACGCCCCACCTTTATTCTTGGCTAGTTCAATATAGTGAAAGGGAGAGGCGAAAGGGGGCATGAGATGTGACCCTAACAGGAAAGGAGCTGCTGCTGCGCCCCAATGCATTCAAACCCCTACTGTTCCCTCACGCCCACCTTTACTCTTGGCAGGTTCAATGTTATGGAAGGGAAAGGTTGAAGGGGGCATGAGATGTGACCAACATGATAGAAGCTGTTGCATATCAATGCTTTCGAGCCCCTACTGTTCCCTCTCGGCCACCATTATTATTGGCGGCTCAATGTAATGGAAGGGGAAGGCGGAAGGGGGCATGAGATGTGACCAACAGAAAAGAAGATGTTGCATATCCATGCTTCCACTCCACATCCCTACTGTTCCCTCACACTCACCTTTATTCTTGGCGGGCTCGATGTAATGGAAGGGGAAGGCTGAAGGCATGTCGCCCACTGAGAGGTTGGGGATGGGGCGCAGAATGAGGTGGTCTGGCTCTGCCATCCATACATAGCTGTGAGGGGGGTAAAGGGGGGAAGCATGGGGCGAAGGGACGGGGTGGAGAGGTGGGGAGAGCTGTGAGTGGGTGTGAGCAAGGTTAAAAAAAACGACCGTATTTTTGAAAATTTGCCGTAAAAAACGGTACCGTAAAAAACGGCCGTAAAAAACGGTAAAAAACGGTTCCAAAAGGTGATTTTCGTCTAAAGAAAAAATCAGCCATAATATGGGACCAAATTGATGGGAAAAACCACCAGGATGAAGAGGACGATCCCCTCTTTGCTTGTGTGCATGCGTAAGCATGATCGAAAATGTATTCGACCTTGTTTTTGCCTTTTTTTTCTTGGTGATAAGAGTTCTCTAACAAAAAAACGGCCGTATTTTTGAAAATTTACCGTAAAAAACGGACCGTAAAAAACGGACCGTAATTTACGATTACCGTATTTTTGAACCTTGGGTGTGAGAGGTGGGGAAGGAACAAGGAAACAGGGGGGAGAGCTGTGAGTGGGTGTGAGAGGTGGGGAAGGAACAAGGAAACAGGGGGGAGAGCTGTGAGTGGGTGTGAGAGGTGGGGAAGGAACAAGGAAACAGGGGGGAGAGCTGTGAGTGGGGCGCAGAATCGAATGGTCTGGCTCTGCCATCCTTACGTAGCTGTGAAAGGTGTGGGGAGGGGGGGGGGGGAGGGGGGGGGGGAGGTGGGGGGGAGGGGGGGAATGCACATTGGAAGGGGAAGGGGAGGTTTGAGTGGAGTCAGAATGAGGTGGTCTGGTGGTTCTGCCATCCATACATGGTTGTGAGATGGAGGAGGCGGGAGCGTGGTGCGAGGAGAGGGGAAGGGGAAGGTGGAGGGCGTGTTGTCACCCACTGAGAGGTTGGGGATGGGACGCAGAATCAAATGAGTTGGCTTCGCCAACCCAACCATACATAGGTGTGAGGGGGGGGAAGGGGGAGGGGAAGGGGGGGGGGAAAGGGAGGGGGGAAGGATAAAGGGGGAGACTGGAAGTGAAGAAAAAAGAGGTCAAGTGGGTACGAAATGAAGATGAGATGGTATAGTAGGGTCTGACTCTGCCATCCATCCATCGCTGTGAAAGGGGTAAAGAGATGGGGGAAGGGGTGAGTGGGGTAAGGGGCAGGGGGCGCGATTTTGGAGAGAGGTGATCACATGTGGTGACATGGGTTGACATGTGGTGACATGTGGTGACATGCTAGGGCATGCGATGGCATGCAGCGGCACGCAATGATGGCTGGCATGTGGCGATATTTTATGGTATGTGATGGCATGACATGTGATGACATGGAGCGATGGCATGACATGTGATGACATGACATGTGATGGCATGACATGTGATGGCATGACATGTGATGGCATGACATGTGATGGCATGTGGAGCTTACTCTTCAGGAAAAGTGGCTTGTTGAATCCACTGCACGAACGCGTATGGACGATTCAGAACCACATAGTCCTGCCATGTGACATGGCCAAGGGATGGGCAAGGGATGGGCAGGGGATGGGAAAGGGATGGGCAAGGGATGGGCAAGGGATGGGAAAGGGATGGGCAGGGGATGGGAAAGGGATGGGCAAGGGAAGGGCAGGGGATGGGCAAGGAACGGGCAAGGTATGGAAACGATATGGCAAGGGATGGGCAAGGGATGGGAGATGGCAAATTGAAGATTAGACCCGAACCAGAATTACATGTGAATGACACCCGGAGAATACCTGAATTTAACCAGCAATACACTTGATTACACCTTGACTCCGTGCCACCCCCCTTCCCCTACCCTGACCCCCTCCCCCCCGCACTGCCCCTCTCCCTCCAACCAATCACCAGCCCCACAGGAATCCACATAATCCCCTCTGCACAATCTGCTTCACCACGCAGTCAATCCATCCACCCATGCATCCATCCCCGTTACCCCGTGGCACCGTTTGTTGCTGCGGCGGCAGCGGGTTGACGACGAAGGTCGGGATTTCCCCCATGAGCTCGTCTTCCTTCCCCGTGTGCAACACGCGTGTAAATCCCCCCATCTCCTCCCCGCCCGGCTCGCGCTGCCATTTCTTGTAATAAAAGTACATGACTCGCGACTGCCACTTGCTGTAACCCGAACTGTCGCACGTCATCGCCGCGTGGAATGGTCGCAGGGGCCCGTTTCGCCGGATTGACCGCTTGCCGTTTGCCGTGTCCGCAGGCCGGCTGATGACAGGCAATTCTGACTGTGACGTGGATCTACGTCCGTCGGGTTTGCCGGTGCGGGCCTGACGCGTAACGGAAAGCTGATTTGCGTTATTCGAAGAGATTTCACTAAGGGGGTGACGGAGGGATCGACGGTGAGGGACCACGGCGGGAGAATTGTCCAGAAGCATCGTCACGAAATTAAAAGCCGCGAAGAACGACGTGGAGAACGCTATAACGAGGATGAGCCCGGACACACGAGCCATGGTGAGGCTCAAACGGATGAGGCGTTCAGGTACGAAACGGAGGTTGTGTACGAGGAAAAAGCGATGGGATCGCCATTACCGAGGTTCTATCTGGACCATTTTTCCTCGCCTCCTGGGATGCAATGCAATCGAGCTAGTCAAGAAAAACAGGCAGAGGGGTGCAAAAGCTGAGGACGTGTTTATTCGTCCGAAATAAATGCACCCAGGTCATGCTTTGTCTCACTCATGGGGTCAGATTCTCGAGGGCAGCCAATTATATACACACGGGTGACGTCATCACATGCCGCCCCGCCCGCCCTGGCACATTCGAAATTCGGGCCAAAACAAAAAACCCGCGGAATCCCTCCGGGCCCCCGAAATTCCCCGGCTGACCACGCAAAAAAAACCCGCAGAAACCCGCGGGTTCAATGTCGTATTCTTATGCCCATATATATGTCGGCCGTACTGTTGCAATTTCGGGGACATTTGTCGAACAGTGCTCGACGGACATTGGCCAATCGCCGTCGAGCACCGTGCACCCCCGACAACACTGGTTACACCCGGTGGCAAGTCGCCAGGGAATCGCCTACACGGTGGCGTCGACGGTCGACGGTTGCGAAACTTGTTTCGCAACCGGCCGACGGTCGCAATCGACGGAGACGTCAACTGCGGCCGACCTGTCGCCTCGTCGGTCGAGCGAACTGTCGCTGTCTGGTGGGTCACGTCAGTCGCATTCAAACGGTCACGTCAACTGCTGACTGCCACGTCAAATGTCTCAGTCTCCACGGGGAGCAACATAAGCCCAATGTCGCTGTATAAACCTGAATTCATAGTATAAGCACCACTTTCTCCTCAGCACGCCAGGATCTAGGGACAACTGGTAGCTTTCGGTGGGCACTGATGGAGACCGATCCGTCGACGACAGCGCCTTCCCGGGAGGCGGACGTAGGACGTACACCTGTCGAATTGGAGTCCACATCGACACCACCCCCTTCGTCGTCTGGAGACAGGCCTGTTTCTTCCGCGCCCCCTTCGACGACGCGTGCCATACCGGAGGTGGCAGCGCCCACCTCGACGTCGCGAGCCATACCGGTAGTAATACAGCCGGTTGTTACGGACCAGCGTTCGACGGGTATTCCGGTCACTGTTGAAGTGGGTGGTGCACAGACCGAATTCCCTTCGACAGGTCAATCCATACCTGTTGTCGTAGAACCCATCTCGACAACAAATGCCCCCTTTACACACGAGGCTCCAGCTCACCGTGCACCATCGTCGACAGCGCACCGCTCGACGGAACCTTCGGCTGGTGCACCGACCTCGACAGGTGGGCGACGTAGGAGAGCGAGGGCTGTTCCGCCTGAGGTTCGCCAACCACCCCCAGCCCGCACATCCACTTCGATGAGACCAAGCAGAGAGGACTCAGCCAGGAACGTCCCTGAAGCGACGGACGATGAGGATGTTCGGACGGGAGAACAGCAGGAGGCGGACGATGTCGAACCGCCGGACCCTTTGCGGCCTGCTGCGGCAAATATATCAGAGGAGGATGCCGCGCACATTCTCGGCGACCAACCGGGCGCAGACAATCCGTACTTGGCGACCGGAACAATTAAAAGCAGGATTCTCCGGTGTGAGGTTCCGCTGCTGGGAGTTGACCAGGATTCCACACGGCCGAACTATGTCTCTGGAAGCATGCACTACAAAGCTTGGGCCTGTAAAATTCTGGCACCCGAGAGAAGCAACGGATTGCCTAAAGAGGAGCAGGTGATCTACGAGGACGAGATCGGTAGGGAGATCGGCGACGATATGGGGCCGAGATGGAGAGAGGCGCTGCGTAACGAGGAGCACCTACATGGGCCGAAAATAACGAAATGGCGCTTGCGCGCGTACGTCGAATACATGTCGACTGAAACCGACCAACAGGCGGCATCGTTGGACATAGGCCGGTCCAGAGTCGCTGGAAGGAAGGCGAAAAAAAGCACCCCTCCGATGATGCTGGCGCGCCTTACTGCGCTGACGTGCTTCTGCAGAGTAGAGGCCATACTCTTCGACGAGCCACTAACGAAACCCTTGGACGACATCACCGAGGCCCGGCAGCTTCTTGCGGTCAAGATGCGGCAGCTGCACGACTTTCAGTTCGAGTAAGTAGGCTGCCATACACCGGAATCTAAAACTTTTCACTCAAATTCTCACCCAAGTACTCGCTGTATCTGCCCACCCAATGTAGGCAGTGCGTCGATCCACACCGGGGCTCGCTCGACGATGTTTACACGGAGGAGCAGTTCCGCATTCTCGTTTCAGACATCCTGCCGTACTGGGCCAAGGAGTACTTTCGGGAGTCGATGAGTTTCCCCAGTTAGTCGCTGTGGAGGGCCTTGGCCGTCAGGGTGATGATCCTGATGGCGCATCACATGCTGGGCAGGGGGATAAGCATCCGCGAGATCCGCTACTGCAATATGTTCACTCACGTTCTTCCGCCCATCACGAACAGCAAGGGGGAATCGTCGATCCACGTTCTCGTGGTCGCCTATCGCAACTCGAAGACCATCAAAGACAACAAGCTCGGCCACCTGTACCTGACTCGACACATGGACTTCCGGCAGTGCGGCTTCGGAGCAGTGTTCATGTGGATACATTTCATTCTCGACCTTGTGCCGCTCTACTACAACAACGATAAGATCGTGCCCCCCTTGGATTTCAGCAACCCGGAAAACTGGTCAAAGAAGCACCTGTTCTTCGCCCTCTTCGACAAGGACAAGACCGAGTTGCCGTACGCGACTCATGCCAAATGGGTTACCTGGGCGATGAAAAGCGCGGAGTGGATCCTGTCGAAAGTCACACATATCTTTCGACGGTCTGCGGCACAGATCCTCGCCGACAAAAACTGTGAACTCGACAACATCGCGCAGCTGGGTCAATGGGACATGAACGAGATGCGCAGGTCATACGTCACAGGCATCCCGCGCGGGGCCATCCAGCTGCAAGCGGGTTTCACGACGGAACCCGGTGACTATTACCTTGGAAGATCGAAGAGCGAAGTACCCGCGAAGGTCCTGAAGGCTATCGAGGAGCACATATTTCCAAAGGCGGAGCAGTGGCTCGACGAGGTATGGATGCGTCGAGCGCTTAGCGTGATCATCGAATGCAAGTTTTTGCATTCGATCTATCTCTCAATGTCACCAAGTCTGTTCTTGTTCAGGCGATGGAATGGAACAACGAGCAGGACAAGGAGCATATGTTCTTCGCAGCGAAAAGTTTCTTGAAGGCCCTGCAAGCCGCCCGAATGCCCATCGCCGAGGATCTTGCGATGTACTACATCCATTGTGACGACCACCCCTTCGACGGAGTGACTGTTTGCGACTGGGAGCGTCACCCTTATGCACAGATGTCTGGTTTGTGCAAGGATATGGATTTCCAAAAATGGGCGCTTGACGTGTACCTGCTCGACAAGTACGGCATCGAGATGCGGACCAACCCCACGCTGTCGAGAGCCTCGGTAAGATGGACCTTATAAATCTTAATCCGAACAGATTGCATCAGCCCACTTACCTACCGCTCGTGATCTTATGCGCAGGACGCATCCTTTCAACTCAACACCAAGCACCTCATCACGCAACTTCGGGCAGAGGTAAACTTACACAAGGAGGAGGGTGGGAAAAAAGAAATCAAGATCAAGGGCCTCGAGCAGAAGGTCGAGTCATTGGAGCGGGAGAAGGGCGCGATGCAAGCGGAGTTGGAGGCGAAGGCAGAAGCACTCGCGCTACTGCAGAAAGCGTTCGACGCACTGAAGATTACCGCCGCGATAACCGCAGCTGCGAATGTGGGGGGGAGCGAGAGTGTGCCGCAGACGGCGACCGAAGAAACCACCCCGCCACCACAGCAACCCCCTCAATCAACGCCCACTCAACAGAGCAAGGGCAGCCAGCTCGACCAAGCATTCTTCGACGCAGTGGTGTGGCCGTGGTGCAATTGCGATACCGTGCGGCAGGCGTGGTCGTACTGGGACGGGCCAAGCCCGCTGAACAACGGACACAGTCTTCGACACGCTTACAGGAGGGGTTTCGCCGTCAAGTTCAGCAAGTTCACTCCGACTCCTCCCACCGTTCCCCCCGTTGCGGTGGACCAGCCAAAAGAAAAGCCACCGACCCCAAAAGCTGTCGAGTCGAGATTGCGGAAGATGGAGGTTGTCATGAGGGCCGTCGAGATGTTCAGGGTCGACGACAGCAGGGCGGCTACGTCGACGATCATTGATAAGCTTGACTCAATAGTCACGAACCACTCGATCAACATGCTGGCTGAAGGGCTCGTTCTCAAAGAGGATTCGGGGAAGCAGCTCACGAAGAAGCGCAAAGTCGAGACAGCAGAAGACAACCGGAAGGACAAAGATCGCCTCAGGATCACGCGGGAGCTCATTCGCGTCGAGCTTCAAACCACGAAATGGGCCGAGAACGTGTTCAAAGACAAATGGAAAGAGTTCATGAAAACATGGGGTGAGAGCCCAAGTTCGACAGGCAATCATGACGAGGGGCGAAACTAGAGTAGGGTGTTCTTTTAGAGATTGCATGGCAGGTTTTCATTACTGACCGACCATCTCGCCTGTATGAACCTTCTGAGCATTATCGCAAACGGAAATTCAAGATCCATGCAGCATGTACATTGTGTCGATTGAACTTTGGAAACAACAAGCACAACTGTCGAGAATAGCAAACACCCCCACGCAAAGTGCCCGCCTAGACTACTCCCCTTGCCCGCCCGTTTCCGTCTCAGCTGCATCCTCGTCGCCCTGCTTCGCCTTGCTCTTTTCTTCTGGCATAGCCAGGCTGCCATAGCCCGCGTCCTCCAGCAAGCGGGCAGCAGCTCGACCGCAGCACCATTGCGTACAGACCTGTGCTGCCACGCGCAGCATCTGCAGCAGTATGGCGTCCGTCGAGCCGAGACCTTCGACAGCCGACGAATACAGGTGATCGGGCCACTGCTTCGCCGGGAACGTCTTGCCGACGTGCAAAAGTATGGACACGAGTGCGGACATGGCAGCCACACAAGCCTTCTTTGCAGTCTCCGGGGCGTAGATCGCCGCGTTTGCGGCAGCTAGGGCATCCTTCTTAATATCCTCCCTCGACAACTTCCTGCTGGCCGCCCACAAGCTCGCCACAGTTGCTGCGATGGCCATCATGTGCGGTGTCGCCGCCATGCCCTTCGGGACCGGGTAAATCAGATTCCCGTGCTTCAGGCCAAGCGTCGCGACCTTACCAATCGCCACGCACAACGCGATTCCCCTCTCGGTTCCAACTTTCACTTCCTTTTTTGCCGTCGCCAACAGCGACAGGTAACTGCACATCGCAAGAAATGCGTTAGTCAAGAGGCCAGAATTCGACCGACAGCACATTCACCGCAAAACAGATGGTGTTCGACAATTCACCAAAACAACAGGAACTCGACAACAGAGTCTAGCAACATGACTTACTCGTCGAAACGACATTCCCCTTGTTCTTGCGCCACGCTCCAAACGCCGGTTGGCATTTCTGCGGCCGCATCGAGGTAGACCTTCCAGTCCTCCTCATCCTGCGCCGTGTACCCTTCGTACTCCGTAAGGACAACGTCGGGGAAGTACACGCGCCAGCAGACGGCCGTACAGAACTTCTGGTCCTTCTCTGTTTCAAAAGTGCCAAGGAACCGCTTCCTCCCGCCGACGGACTGCTCGGAAACCGGCTTCCCCTTCCGCAACCCGAAAACCGGTCCTTTGAACGGACGTTTGCAGCCTCTCGTCTTGCCTTGGCCGTCCGGTCGAGGAGGTGGGGTGTGACCCGTGACCCTGGCCTTCTTCGCCTTTTCCTGTCGAGCAGCAACGACAATAGAGGTCTTCTCCACAGGCGCCTAACCAGGGACGCTGGCCAGCTCCACCACGTCAAGGCTCTCTGTCGCGTGTGCAGCGCGCTTCGACGACTTCGTCGCAGCCGGCTTCTTCTTCGACGTTGAAGGGGAGCCCGGATCGCTAAGACAAACGTTGCCAAGGGACGGAGCAGCGACGGCAGGAGCAACTGGAGGGTTCGAGGAAGATGCCCAATTTCCCACAAGCCCGACAGCAAGGCCAGCACCACCGCCTTGCGCAGCTGATGCCGCTTTAGTCTTTGACAGCAACCCAGCGCTTGCTTCTTCCGCTCCTTTCCCCGCACCGCCGCTTGACGGGGTAGAGGCACCTCGCATTCCTAGAGCTCTGTTCCCGGTCGAGGCGACGTGCTCGTTTGGGGCACCACTTTTCTCCCCCGCGACCACTCCTTTCCCACCCGTTTTCCCCAGGCCTTGCAACATGTCCCGCATCAAAGCAAATGCATCAGGTGGATCGATCGGAGCCGCTACGGAGGTCTTCGAGCGGGGCGACTGGTCGAGTACGATGACTTCCTCGACGGGCTTGGCGACGGGATGACGGCCACGCGCCGGTGGGGATCCAACCGGGCTGCCGACATGTCCTCCCACCGAAGAAGACGGAGGAACCGACCGCTCGTGACCACGAGGCTCAGCCCCGCTGCGAACCCCTCCCACACCCTCCTGACGCGACCTCGTCGACGGGCCCGCCGAGCGCTGAAAACCTCTCGCCATCTCTTCGGTGAGGACTTCCAACCTCCCTGCTTCGGCTTCATGGTAGCCTTCCCTCACAATGTCCTTCAGCTCCTTCATGGTCTCGGGTGGGAGGGTGGAGCAGAACATGTCCTCCATGATGGCTTTCTCGAAACCCTTCAGCACCGCAGCAACCAGCCGCTCCTCGACCTGCTTGAGCTGCTTCTCGACGGCGTCCTCGCTCGCTTTTGTGATGGCGGCTGCCACCCCCTCGATGATCTTCCCGCTCATCTCGTCGATCTTCGCCCGCGCCCCTTCCAACAGGTTCCTCTCTGCCGTGACACCCTTCACAGCCTCGGCGCACTGCGACAGTGTGCTCTTCGACGACTCCGAAATCGTATTCCACGCCGTCCGAAAATCCGCAGCAAGCCTGTTGAATACTCCGGCTTGCTCAGTGTGTTTCGCAAAGACATCGGCGACGAGCTGCTTCTGCGACGCCTCAACTTTCTCGACCCTCTGCAGTAGCTCGACGACCTGGCCTCCCAGTGCAACGTTCGCCGTCGATTGGCCTGCCGTCGAAGGCCACCCGGTCGAAGGGCCCGCCTGTCCGCTGCCACTGGCCGTGCGGTGACTCCTTGTTACGGCGGCCTGTCGCTCAACTCCTCGACGATACTCCTCAGCAGCCTCCCAGTCCTCCTGCTCCTGCCCTCCTGACCCACCCACCCGCGCAGCCGCAACCCTAAACGCCTGCTGCTGCACTCCTGCCCCACCCTCCTGCGCAGCCGCCACGCCCTCCTGCTGCTGCCCTCCTGCCCCGCCCTCCTGCGCAGCCGCCTCGCCCAACACCTGCCGCTGCCCTCCGACCCCACCCTCCTGAGCAGCCGCTCCGCCCTCCTGCTCCTCGACAGCCTTAGTTTCCCCTGTCGCCTGCTGCTCGATAAGCTCTACTCGCTCGTCCACCCGCTCCCCGAGCGCCACTCCATGCTCCCCCGTACGCTCCGTTCTATGTCCGGCGCCCTCGCCGTCGTCCTCGGCCGACTCATCGCTCGAGCTCGAGCCGGAGCTCGTTCCCGAGCTTGAGTCTGTCGAAATAAGCAAGAGTGAGCTAAGTTTTAACTAGGGCCTAGGCTTAGGAGCCTAGGCCCAACTTAGGTATCGAGTGAGTTTTGGGCAAGGGTGAGAGGATCGAGGAAGTTGGAAAGGAGAAAAGGTGGGTTTCACTATAGGTTCAAGGAACATATAGCATAGGAAACAAAAGGGTGCACCACCTAACAAAGTTTACAATAACTGCACTAACTACAGCTACAGGCAGTTACAAATATAAATAATATATAGTTTGACACTCTCCCATAACTGCCTGCAGCAGGAGTTTGTGCAGAATACAACCTGCAGGTGTACACATGCAAAACAATAACAAACAAGCAACAGCAGGAACTGCATGCGGGCTGACACTAACTGGTCACCCCCTCCATCTCCTCACCCTCCTCCTTCCCCTCCCCCACACTGCTGCAGTAGCAGCAGAGAGGGGGGGGAGAGAGGAGAGGTGGAGGGACGGCTGCTGGTTGCCTCACACCCGCCACCCCAGTGCCACTCCCCCGGCTCCCCCACATCCTCACACCCTCCCCCCCAGCGGCAGCTGCAGCAATGGGAACGAAAGGAGGAGGAGGGGAAGGGAAGGAACCACCCATCACCCCACACCCGCCACCCCCATACCCTCCCCCCCACGGCTGCACGAGGGGAGGCGTGGGTGAGGCAGGGGCGGGTGCACGAGCGCAGGTACGGGTGAGGCAGGAGCACCGTCGCGGGCACCAGGGGCGCGGCGGCTCAGGGCACCACCGCGGGCGCAAGTGGCGGGTCCACGGCGGCATTGGGCATCGCCGCGGGCGCCAGAGGCGGGTCCACGACGGCTAAGTGCACCGCCGCGGGCGCCAAAGGCGGGTCCGCGACGGCCAAGGGCACCGCCGCGGGCGCCAGAGGCGGGTCTGCGGGCGCCAAGTGCACCGCCGCGGGCGCCAAAGGCGGGTCCGCGACGGCCAAGGGCACCGCCGCGGGCGCCAGAGGCGGGTCCGCGGATGCCAAGTGCACCGCCGCGGGCGCCAAAGGCGGGTCCGCGACGGTCAAGGGCACCGCCGCGGGCGCCAGAGGCGGGTCCGCGGGCGCCAAAGGCGGGTCCGCGACGGCCAAGGGCACCGCCGCGGGCGCCAGAGGCGGGTCCGCGGGCGCCAAGAGCACCGTCGCGGGCGCCAAAGGCGGGTTCGCGATGGCCAAGGGCACCGCCGCGGGCGCCAGGGGCGGGTCCACGACGGGTAGAAAAAACGTCACGCGCCACCCGGGCGCGGGACAGGACGAAAATCGCCACGCGCCCGAGGCGCGCGACCAGAAAAACAGTAGCGGAAGCGTGAGGCAGGCCCACAGACCTGGATTTAACAGGCTCTAATACCATGTCGAAATAAGCGAGAGTGAGCTAAGTTTTAACTAGGGCCTAGGCTTAGGAGCCTAGGCCCAACTTAGGTATCGAGTGAGTTTTGGGCAAGGGTGAGAGGATCGAGGAAGTTGGAAAGGAGAAAAGGTGGGTTGCACTATAGGTTCAAGGAACATATAGCATAGGAAACAAAAGGGTGCACCACCTAACAAAGTTTACAATAACTACACTAACTACAGCTACAGGCAGTTACAAATATAAATAATATAAAGTTTGACAGAGTCCTCGTCCTGGTTCGCATCGCCGCCCGGGCCGCTCGCCCCGTGCTGAGCCTGCCTCGATGTATCCTCCTCGATCTCCTCCTCCTCCTCGACGCTGTACTCAATCACGACGCGTCCCGTCTTCTCGCCTCCTCCCTCGTGGTCGGCACCCCCTCCCACACCTGCTCCCTCCGCCAGCTGGTCGATCTTTCTCGAAAACAGCTTGACCATGAACAACGGAAGCACACCCGGGCCAGGGTTCGTTCTCCCTAGATGCACGAGTTCGCCCTTTCGAGGCTGTAGGATGAAGTCGTCCCATTTCGTCAGAATACGGCGCACCCCATGCACGACACGAGCTGCCGCGCCGTTTTCATAGGGGCTCGACAAGGCCGTCGTCGCCTGCGACGGGTACAAAACATACGTAAGCGACAAAACACATGCTCGACGAAAACGCTGGTGGTCTAAGGAGAGCTTACCAGATGGTCGAAATCCTCGTTCAGCTCCAGACGAAGGTCCATCACGTTCAACACTTCTTGGTCGTCCTCGGTCAGAGCCTGGTGGGTCATCGCGTACTCGGCGCGAAGCTGCTTCTTCATCCACCTGCGACGCAGCGGACAGAAGAGTAAGATTGTCGAGAACAGCAGCTCGACAGCAGGGTGGCAAAGCTGTCACTCACATGAAAACTTCTTGCGCCAGAGAAGATTGGTGGTTCATATCGGGAAACTTGTCTTTCGAATCGAAGTGCATCATTCGAGTTTGACTGCCACGGTGCCTTGGAGCCAGCAGATCGTCGGGGCGCGATACCACAAACAGGCTCGAGTGGGAGAACGGAGGCACACTCAGTCTGCATGCAGAGCCAATGCACGTGAGAACGGGTTCAGGGCTAAAGACGGAGCACGCAAGGCGACGGGAGAGTAGGCGACGGTAGAGTGTCGAACTCACGGTGTCCGCAGCAGAACGAAAACCACTTGCTTGCCGAGGAGGCCGTCGAGGTGGTTGTTCGCAAAAGCAACCGGGGTGGGACGTGCCATCTCTTCACGCGCACGCGCCGGAGTCACGATCGACACCTTGGGGAGCTGCTCGACAGACAGCAGCTCATGACAGAACAGGCTGGAGGGAAAGCTAAGGCAACGTCAGCGATTGGTAAACCCAAACATGGCAAACCGAAAATGTTCGACAGGACACGTACACGACGCCCGCGACCATCATGCTCTCGTCGAGCTCCCCTTTCGGCGCCTCTCTAATCGCATTCAGCTGGTCCTCGTACACCTCCACCTCGACCCCGCCTGCACTAAGGATGAGGCCGTGTCGAACCGTCGCCTCGTTCATGACGGGTACGGAGGCGGAGCTCGTAGCCATGTCAGGCCTAGCAGTGGAGAGGGCGGGCGCGCAGGGGAGTCGGGAACTAGCAGGGACTAGGAAGTAGGGAAGTAGAAATCGGAAACACCAACAAAATGAGACCGGACGAAGGGTATTAGCTCCCTCCCACCGCGACGGACCAGGGGGGTTCAAGGGCGAGGAGGCAGGGCGCGTTCCGAGATGCTGGAGGAGGAGGGAGGAGCTCTTCGCGGAGGCCGGCGGGGCCCTATTGGCCTCGACGTGAAACGTGGTTGTTGGTTGCATGGGGTGGGCCGCCTTGCGTGCAGCTGAAAGGCCCTTTCCAAGGTTCGGGAGGGGGCCTTCGACACGTCACCAAGATCGTGCGAGTTGAACGAAACGGGCCCGTCTGGGGCGAGAGCGGTGGAGCGCGGTGCAGATGGGCGTCGATTTCGTCCGGCCTGCGAAATTTCGCCGACTGGTTCCGTCGGCGATGCGGCGTCGCTCGGCGAGGGATGGGCAGGTTACCGGACGGAACCCGTCCACGAACCGAGCGAGGGGTTGGGCTCGGTGGGGAGGGGGACCACTGCCAGCTCGAGGGCGCGGGCTGCTGGCATCATCGGCAGCTGGCGCCAGCTGGGGGTGCCCGTTTTCGGGCGGGAGGGGGGGGGGGTGGCTCCCGCCCCTCGCGTGCCCCGCTAGGCGACTGCGGGAAAACGAAAATCCCTCCGAGGAAAACCCGCAGGGGCAAACGGGTTTTCGCGGAGGGATTCGGGCGAGGTCTTCCCTCTCTTTAACTTCGATCTCCAAACCGTCAAGCCAATGCCAGCAGGCTAGGGCTGATGGCTTGTCTTCCGCTAGTTGGGTCAGCCAGGAAATACACGTAAAAAACGGATTGTTTACGAGATTTGCGGAAGCTCAAATGTGCTAATTCAATAACTAGAGGTCACATTTGATATTTACCAATACATAGTTTATTTACTCTTAGAAACATTATTTATTCAATGAAATGTTCTGTAGATTTTATTACTGAAGGATGAGACACACAATATATAGCTATAGCATATTACACTCACAGTCGTAACTGACAAACTATATAGCACGTTATCCTCGGTTGAAACGCATGTTTCAGTAACGGGACCTAGCACCCTCAAAACAGGAAATGGCTTGTCTTTCAAGCCATTACCGTTCAAGCTGCTGACAGAATTTCGTGAATCAACGCTCTTTGCGCTTGGCGTACTTTACGGAGTGCTCGACGCTCGGTGCTCGGCGCTCGGTGCTCGGCGCTCGGTGCTCTGATATCAATATTCGGCTACTGGATACCACCATCTTGCCAGGTCGCTTTGGGAAGCACAGGTCGCGAGTAGTAACTGAAGCTGCGAAAGTTTGACGGGAGTTTGACGGAAGCGATGGATGGCGGTGCTGACATTGACGTTGACGAGGACGACTTTCTAGTTCTCGACGAGGATGACGAGCTGCGCGCGCAGCGAATCAGCGGTGAGGAACGAGCCTGGCTGGGAGGACCAAATTAACGGCTAGAATTGCGTCGGCAGTGAGAGACAGTGAGAGATGAGATAGCCGTGAAGCGCGCCAAGCGGCGACGGTAGAGCGGATGGAGAGAAGCAGACGCATCAAAGCAGCCGTACGGCCGGGTCAATCGGAGTGGCGACGTTTGCAAAATGGCTGCTTTGCTAAACGGCCGAAAACTTCCAAGATTCGTGACACTACCCCCTTCCTCCTTCAGAAACACCCCTCACTTTCCCCCTTCCCTTTCCGGGTCATGATCTTTCCTTCCTACCTAAATTCTTGTTCATTTCCGCCAGGGGAAAGGACGTCGGAGGAGGGCCACGCCCCTTCGGGACTTTGTTCAGATCTGCTTTTGAGTCGACTCAAAAGCAGACTTTGTTCAGATGCAACTGTAGGGTGACCACTCGCAGCGGCCGATGTGGGTGTGCGCATGTAGAAGGGTGTGCATGAATGTCAATTCTCCCCATGTATCATCCTTCTTCCCCCCCTCAACACCATTGTTGCCACCACCAGCGGCAGGAAAAGGGATCTCCGAGGAGGGCCACGCCCTGCGCGATTTCTCCAAGATGCATTTGAAGGAGGACCACTCGCAGCGACCCACCTGGGTGTGTGGGTGTGCGTGGGGATGCACGCATGCCAAATTCACTGTTTCACCACGCTTCTTCCCCCTCCCGCCCTCCCTGCCACGACCACCAGCGGCAGGAGAAGGGACCTCTGACGAGGGTCACGCCCTTCGGGACTTCTCCAAGATGCATTTGAAGGAGGACCACTCGCAGCGACCCACGTGGGTGTGTGGGTGTGCGTGGGGATGCACGCACGCCAAATTCACTGTTTCACCACGCTTCTTCCCCCTCCCGCCCTCCCTGCCACGACCACCAGCGGCAGGAGAAGGGACCTCTGACGAGGGTCACGCCCTTCGGGACTTCTCCAAGATGCATTTGAAGGAGGACCACTCGCAGCGACCCATGTGGGTGTGTCCGGACGGACGAATCATCCTGGAGACCTACTCGCCCCTCTACAAACACGCCTACGACTTTCTAATCGCAATTGCCGAGCCAGTCTGCCGGTGAGTGGGACACACAAGCTGCTTCTGTTTCCCGAGGCAGAGGTGCCGGTGAGTGAGGCGCCTCAAAAGGACACACAAGCTGCTTCTGTTTCTTTTCCAGTTTTGGGGCATGTCAGTGTCTATTTCTCACTCAGGTGTGTTTTGAGTCGACTCAAAACACTCCAGTTTTGGGGCATGTCAGTGTCTATTTCTCACTCAGGTGTGTTTTGAGTCGACTCAAAACACTCCAGTTTTGGGGCATGTCAGTGTCTATTTCTCACTCAGGTGTGTTTTGAGTCGACTCAAAACACTCCAGTTTTGGGGCATGTCAGTGTCTAGTTCTCACTCAGGTGTGTTTTGAGTCGACTCAAAACACTCCAGTTTTGGGGCATGTCAGTGTCTATTTCTCACTCAGGTGTGTTTTGAGTCGACTCAAAACACTCCAGTTTTGGGGCATGTCAGTGTCTATTTCTCACTCAGGTGTGTTTTGAGTCGACTCAAAACACTCCAGTTTTGGGGCATGTCAGTGTCTATTTCTCACTCAGGTGTGTTTTGAGTCGACTCAAAACACTCCAGTTTTGGGGCATGTCAGTGTCTATTTCTCACTCAGGTGTGTTTTGAGTCGACTCAAAACACTCCAGTTTTGGGGCATGTCAGTGTTTATCCCTCACTCAGGGGATCATCCCGGAGACCTACTCGCCACTCTACAAGCACGCCTACGACTTCCTGATCGCCATCGCGGAGCCTGTGTGCCGGTAAGTGTTCGCTCTCCTAGTTCTGGGGTGTGTTGTTGATGCATGTTACTGTGTGCCTGCCTGTCTACCACTCAGCGTGCATCATCCCGGAGACCTACTCGCCACTCTACAAGCACGCCTACGACTTCCTGATCGCCATCGCGGAGCCTGTGTGCCGGTAAGTGTTCGCTCTCCTAGTTCTGGGGTGTGTTGTTTGTGCATGTTACTGTGTGGCTGCCTGTCTACCACTCAGCGTGCATCATCCTCGAGACCTACTCGCCACTCTTCAAGCACGCCTATAACTTCCTAATCGCCATCGCAAAACCTGTGTGCTGGTGAGTGTTCGCTCTCCTACTTCTGGGGTGTGTGAGTACAACCTCACGCTGCATTCTCTTTGTGCAGCAGCGTCAGTGGTTCCCCCTTGCGCTGACCACAGTGTCAGTGGGTCTAGACACCTCCACCATCATCTCACTGCTCCTCCGTCTCTTCAACACCAGGCTCCCTGCTGACATCACGTGAAAGAAGGAGTGTTTTGAGACGTCTCAAAAAACTCTCTTCAACACCAGGCTCCCTGCTGACATCATGCGCTGTACTTTCCTTCCCTGCCGCCCCTCCCCACTTTTCCCCCCACTTCCACAGTCCCGAGAACGTGCATGAGTACAATCTTACTCCCCACTCCCTCTATGCAGCAGTCTCAGTGGGTCTAGACACCAACACCATCATATCAGTGCTCGACCGCCTCTCCAAGACCAAGCTCTCAGCTACTGCTGACTGACATCATACCCTGTACCTCCCTCCCTCCCTCCTCTCTTCCCCAGTCCAGAGAATGTGCACGAGTACAATCTCACGCCCCACTCCCTGTACGCAGCGGTGTCAGTGGGTCTAGACACCAACACAATCATCTCTGTGCTCGACCGCCTCTCCAAGACCAAGCTCTCCCCTGACATCATCACCTTTATCCGCGAGTCCACTCAGAACTACGGCAAAGTGAAGCTGGTGCTGCAGCGCAACAAGTACTTTGTTGAATCTCCTTACCCCAATGTGAGTCCCTTTAGCCCTTGTAAGTTGCCAGACGGTCAGGTGCGGTCCAGGTAGCGAGTTCGACCAGGACCACGGGAAAGTGAAGCTGGTGCTGCAGCGCAACAAGTACTTTGTGGAATCGCCGTACCCCAATGTGAGATCTGGCCCTACACCTAGAGTCTCGTGGCAAGGTCAAGCTACCGAGTCAACACAGAACTACGGGAAGGTGAAGCTGGTGCTGCAGCGGAACAAGTACTTCGTTGAATCGCCGTACCCCAATGTGAGTCCCGGAGCCCCTTGTCACTTATCTCTCACCATAAGCAATGTATGTGCAGAGCAGAATGGAGAGCCGCCTTGGCTTGGTGCTCTGCACAGCCACTGCAGAGGTTCTCACTCACACCTGCGGCCCTGCAGGGGTTATTTCATGTTTGTTTTTGAGATGTCTCGAAACCAATATGTTGACACCAGCAGCCGTAGAGGGGCTCTCACATGTGTAGCCCGTTCAGATGCGCATGATTGGTGGATCCTTATCACATATGGATGGATGCGGACTTGCACTGGACATCAATAAGAAACCTATGCGCAAGGATGACATCAATAAGAAACCATCCATCCATCTCCACTCCACCTGCGCATACGGCCATCCTTATTCATGTACATGTCCGCTTATGTGCTCTTTCTGTTCATGTGCTCTGCTCCCGCTGTGTTTATGTGGTTTTATTACTCTTGCAGGTGCTTCGAGAGCTCTTGCGAGACGATGTGATTCGCCGAGCCAGAATCTTGCCGTCAGTTAATGCTCAGGCATGTGTGTGTGTGTGTGTGTGTGTGTGTGTTTGTGTGTGTGTGTGTGTGTGTGTGTGTGTGTGTGCGTGCATGTGTGCGTGCGTGCATGCATGGGAGGGAGTGGGGAGGGGGGATTCCTTTTCATCGTGTTTGTGTGTGCACTCATAGATAGGGTTGCATTGTATGTGTGCTAATAGTGTGCCCTGCTCGCACGCCATGTGTGCCATTCACGAGTCTCCGCTGCGTTTAGCCTCCCCCAAGTGCTTGTCCTATGATGCTCAATGTCATTTTCAGCGTCATTCCTCCATGCAAATGCAATGGTACATTCTGTGGCCTGGCTTGAATTTGATGAGGGTCCGGGCGGTGATGCCTTTGCAGAGCAGCAGGTGGGCGCACCAGATGCATGCAGCAGCAATAGCAGGTGAGTTTTGAGTCGACTCAAAACTCACCTTGATGAGGGTCCGGGCGGCGATGCCTTAGCAGAGTAGCAGGTGGGCGCACCAGATGCATGCAGCAGCAACAGCAGCGGTGCCCGCACATTCATTCATGGGGGCGGATTATGTTTATGGTGGTTGTCCTATGCCACCATGAATGCATGTGTGGGCACCGCTGCTATTGCCCCAATCTTCAGCAGGGGCCGGCACAGCATGTGTTTGCATTGCAGCAGGGGGGAGCAGCAGCAGACGGGTCAGCAGCATCAGCAGCGGCGGTGCTGATGGGGGTGGAGCGGGTAGGAGAATGTCTCTGGTCTGGTAGTGTTTCAATGCGCTGCGCCCCATGTGTTTCAATGCGTTGCGCCCCATGTGTTTCAATGCGCTGCGCCCCATGTGTTTCAATGCGCTGCGCCCCATGTGTTTCAATGCGCTGCGCCCCATGTGTTTCAATGCGCTGCGCCCCATGTGTTTCAATGCGCTGCGCCCCATGTGTTTCAATGCGCTGCGCCCCATGTGTTTCAATGCGCTGCGCCCCATGTGTTTCAATGCGCTGCGCCCCATGTGTTTCAATGCGCTGCGCCCCATGTGTTTCAATGCGCTGCGCCCCATGTGTTTCAATGCGCTGCGCCCCATGTGTTTCAATGCGCTGCGCCCCATGTGTTTCAATGCGTTGCGCCCCATGTGTTTCAATGCGCTGCGCCTCATGTGTTTCAATGCGCTGCGCCCCATGTGTTTCAATGCGCTGCGCCCCATGTGTTTCAATGCGCTGCGCCCCATGTGTTTCAATGCGTTGCGCCCCATGTGTTTCAATGCGCTGCGCCCCATGTGTTTCAATGCGCTGCGCCCCATGTGTTTCAATGCGCTGCGCCCCATGTGTTTCAATGCGCTGCGCCCCATGTGTTTCAATGCGCTGCGCCCCATGTGTTTCAATGCGTTGCGCCCCATGTGTTTCAATGCGCTGCGCCCCATGTGTTTCAATGCGCTGCGCCCCATGTGTTTCAATGCGCTGCGCCCCATGTGTTTCAATGCGCTGCGCCCCATGTGTTTCAATGCGCTGCGCCCCATGTGTTTCAATGCGCTGCGCCCCATGTGTTTCAATGCGCTGCGCCCCATGTGTTTCAATGCGCTGCGCCCCATGTGTTTCAATGCGCTGCGCCCCATGTGTTTCAATGCGCTGCGCCCCATGTGTTTCTCTCTCCCTCTACGGTCGCGTTTCTTTGCAGCAGGGGCCAGCAGGGGACGCGTTTGCAGTGCAGCAGGGGGGAGCGGCGGACGGGTCAGCAGCAGCACTTACGCATGCGCTCATGGGGGCGGGGGAGGACGTGGGCGGGGCAGCGGACGATGGGGAGTTTCACTCGTTTGAGATCGACCCCTCTCAGGTGTGTTGGCGTGTGTGTTGGGTCAGGTGCTTGGCCCAGGTGTGCTATACGTCTGCCAACCCCCGCCCGTCCCTTAGTGTGGGTGGTGGGGGAGGGTACGATGGGGAGTTCCACTCCTTTGAGATCGACCCCTCCCAGGGGCCTGCTAACTCTTGCCCGTTCGTAAAGGTAGGCAGGGGAGGGGACGATAGGGAAGTTCACTTCTTTGCGCTTCGTTTTGCGCGCACGCCTGCCTTTATGCGGCCGGGGTGGAGTGGGATGGGTGGTGGATGGGGATGGGTGGTGGATGGGGGTGGGTGGTGGATGGATGAAAATGCGATGTTTTGTTGAGATCTTCAACGTTGGATATCTTTCACTCAAGTTTCTTGTTGGAGGAAACAATTGTGAGGCTGATGCATTGAGAATGGGGGATTGATGGATCGAGCTTTGTGCTGCGTGCATCTATCTACCATTCACGCTCCACGGGAGTGCAGGCAAGTGTGCAGGCACGATATATGCTCAGCACTGCACTGCATGTGCCTATCTGTGTGGTGTACAGAATGTACACAAACATTCTTGTTACATTGTTGTTGTTGTTGTTGTTGTTGTTGTTTTTTTTTTTTTTTTTTTTTTTTTTTTTTTTTTTTTTTTTTTTTTTTTTTTTTCTACGTTATCCTCCTTTCGACTTTGAATTTTCTTCGGTGCACAGGTGGAGTGTGTGAAGCAGAGGTGTCTTCCCAACGCCCTCAACTACCCCATGCTGGAGGAATATGACTTCAGAAACGACTCGGTATGTGCGAGAGGAGAGTACCGACATGGACACATGTATGGCGTGCACTTATGCATGCACTCAGGTGCCCTCGCAGGCACGTTGGCGTGCACTCATGCATGCATCCCCACACGCACATGCATTGGTATCTACACATGCGATTGCGGACAATCCATGCACGTCCGTGTGTGCATGAGTAAGAAATGTAACGACGACTTTGCATGGCCCGCAAACACACACACGTGTTCGCTGTTGCACACGTGTACATACACTCATACATGCACTGATACGTGCACTCATGCACACGTGCATCCACCCACTCATGTCCTGTAGGTGAATCCAGACGTGGATGTGGAGTTGAATCCACATGCTCAGCTGCGGCCGTACCAGGAGTTGCTACATAGCCACTTGACCTGCTGCTAAATGTTGCACTCATCCATGTACGCATGCATGCAGGTGAATCCTGACGTGGATGTGGAGTTAAAGCCACATGCGCAGCTGCGGCCGTACCAAGAGAAGAGCCTCAGCAAGATGTTTGGCAACGGTGAGATGAGATATGGTTTTTTTTTTTTTTTTTTTTTTTGCCAACCAGAAACTCTGACGGTGATGGGGATGTAACAGAAACGCTGACGGTGACGGTGGTGTAACAGAAACGCTTAGTCTGCCTCCCCCACCCTTTTCCACATGCCTTGCGGTGCATGTACGTCCCTTGTGGTGGGTGGGCGTGTCAGCGGCCATGCTCATTCGCAAGAGCTGCCTTTTCTCTGTTGCCATCGTCAGTGCCCACTGACAGAACCCTCATCTCATTTTTTCTTCTCTTCTCTGCTTCTCCTCTCCCTCTTTCCCTCCCTTTGTGCCCCAGGTCGAGCGCGCTCATGCATCGTTGTGTTGCCGTGCGGTGCAGGCAAATCCCTGGTGGGAGTGTCAGCAGCGGTGCGCATCAGAAAGAGCTGCCTGTGCCTGGCGACCAATGCAGTGGCCGTAGGCAACGCTCCCAACTCACCATGCTCCTTCCTATCATTTGTTTTACCCTTCTTGTCGCAGGTCGAGCGCGTTCAGGCATCATAGTGTTGCCGTGCGTAGCAGGCAAGTCCCTGGTGGGGGTGTCAGCAGCGGTGCGAATCATCAGGAAGAGCTGCCTGTGCCTGGCGACCAATGCAGTGCCTACTCACAGAACTCTCGTCTCGTTCATTCTTCTATGCTTCTTGTCTCCCTTTCTCCCTCCCTCCCTTTGTGTCTCAGGTCGAGCGCGTTCAGGCATCATAGTGCTGCCCTGCGGCGCAGGCAAGTCCCTGGTGGGAGTGTCAGCAGCGGTGCGCATTCGAAAGAGCTGTCTGTGCCTGGCGACCAATGCAGTGTCGGTGGATCAGTGGTGCCTGCAGTTCAAAATGTGGTCGACGATCAAGGATCAACATATCTCAAGATTCACCTCTGATACCAAGGAGATGTTCCAGGTGAGTTACACTCCAGCATGGGTGTGTTTCTGAGGCGCCACACGCAGTATCAGTGGATCAGTGGTGCCTGCAGACTGCAGTTCAAGATGTGTTCCACGATTAAAGACCAGCATATCTCGAGATTCACGTATGATACCAAGGAGACGTTCCAGGTGATTAACATAGGGGTGCCATACTGCCAGTATGTTCCAAGTGAGTTGCGTTGCATTGTGGGTGGATTAGTGGTGCATGCAATTCAAGATTTGTCCCTTGACTAATATCCCATTCTCTCACTCACCCTTTCACTCACTCGCTTCCCTCCCTTTGCATACAGGGCGATGCAGGTATTGTGGTAACCACGTTCAACATGATTGCGTTCGGAGGGAAGCGGTCGGCAGAATCGAATAAAATCATTGAAGCCATCCGATCGCGCGAGTGGGGCTTGCTGCTCATGGACGAGGTGCAGTGCGGTTGAGTGGGATATACTTGGGTGGAGTGTAGAAAGAGGGGGTTGGCTAGTTAGCAGCAGTATGATAGAATGAATTATTGACACATAGTTGGAGGGTTGGTGTGGCATGCCTCTCGTCTCGTTTCGTGCTTATCGCCAATGTGTGTCTACAAATCTCCATTGTGGTTGCAAGGCGGTTGCTTCCGTGTATCGCTCTCTGTCTTTGACATGTGTTTTCTATGCATATGCCCCCCATGCTGACGTGTCAGGTGCACGTGGTGCCAGCTCAGATGTTCCGGAAGGTCATTGGCATCACCAAGTCGCACTGCAAGCTGGGATTGACAGGTGAGTCAACGCAGGTCAACAGGTTAGTCAACGCAGGTCAACAGGTTAGTCAACGCAGGTCAAACCAGGCAAGGAAGCATTGTGGCTCATTGTCATCACCAAGTCGCACTGCCATTGCAATCACACCTCAATCTCCGCGGCAACCTCGCCATTTATTTCTCTTTATATCTCTCCACCTCAATCTCCTCTCCACATTTATCTCGACATTTTGCAGCCTCAACTTTCATCCACTCCTACATCCTTTTGAGACGTCTAAAAAGTATTTTTTTTACACGTGTCAACATTTCGCAGCCTCAACTTTCATCCACTCGTACATCCTTCCCCTCCGCCTCTCCGCCTCTCTCCAGCCTCTCTGGTGCGAGAGGACGAGTTGATTGCGGACCTCAACTTCCTGATTGGTCCCAACCCAAGCTGTACGAAGCAAACTAGACTCACGTCTTAGCCTTTCCTTTCCCCTCCCCTCCCCTCCCCTCCCCTCCCCTTGCCCCCTCCCCTTCCCTTTGTCCCCCTCTTTCCCCAGCCACTCTGGTGCAAGAGGATGAGCTAATCGCGGATCTCAACTTCCTGATTGGTCCCAAGCTGTACAAAGCAAGCTGGACTCACCTCCTCCCCTCCCCTCCCCTCCCCTCCCCTCCCCTCCCCCTCCCCGCTTCCCCTCTCCGCTTCCCCTCACCTCTCCAGCCACACTGGTGAGAGAGGACGAGCTGATAGCAGACCTCAACTTCCTGATCGGTCCCAAGCTGTATGAGGCCAACTGGACTTACCCACTCCTCCTCCCCTCCCTCTTCTTCCTCCCGCCACCTCACTTCACAGCCACTCTCGTGAGAGAGGACGAGCTGATAGCAGACCTCAACTTCCTGATCGGTCCCAAGCTGTATGAAGCAAACTGGCTGGACCTGGTGCGAGGGGGGTTCATTGCCAACGTGCAATGCGTGGAGGTGAGAGACTCTAGTAGTGGGTGTGCCAATAATGAGCGTGCAGGTGAGAGTGTGCGGATGATGCAGAGAGGGACTGCGGATACAGACACTGTTCGAGGCCAACTGGCTGGACCTGGTGCGAGGGGGGTACACCGCCAACGTGCAATGCATGGAGGTGAGTAGGGGGTGTGGTGATGCGTTGAAGTGAGACGTTGGATATGATGTGATAACAATGGGGGTTGGGTGGGGTGGGTGGATTTCGGAGTTGAGTTCAGAATCGTACCAGGTGATACACCAACATGCTCCTGCATCAGCCTTTTGAGGCGCCTCAAAAGTCGTCTCCTGCATCAGCCTTTCGTGTGACTACGTTGAGGGTTGAATCGTACGGAAGGGCTGTCACATTGTGACTGGGTTGTTGTGACTGTTTGGGGGGGGGGAGGGCGGTTGAAACTCCTCGAAATGGCACCAAGAAAGGAAGCGATCTGTGCGGCTTGTCCGAAGGCATTGGCCAGAGCAGCGGCTGATGGTTGGTTCGGTGATCAGCCGTATACATCGTTCCTGTGTCTGTGTTTTCTCTTGTGCGCCTTGAATGTGTCTGTGTTTCTCTTGTGTGCGTGTTTTTGACGATGCGCGCTCCTGTTTGTATGTGCATTCATGTGCGTGCATGTGCATCTATATGTGTGCACATGTGTTCGCCTGTGTGCCTGCATGTGTGCATTGCACGTGTATGCATCCCTATTCACGCCAGGTGTGGTGCCCCATGACTCGCGAGTTCTATGCAGAGTACATCCGAGCCGATGCAAGAAAGCGCCAGGTGAGGTGACATGGGCTTTAAGGGCTGCATGTGTGCATGCATGCATGGGTGGGTGGAACATCATCACACCAGGTGTGGTGTCCCATGACCCGCTTGTTCTATGCAGAGTACATCCGAGCAGACGCAAGAAAAAGACAGGTGATTGGATTATGATGGCCTTCAAGGGTGCAATGTTACCTGGCAGTCTGGAGTTTCGAGGTTTGGTAACACACAGAGGTCAACTGCTCAATCACACTCTGTCTGGTTTCTAACCGATCGCCCCGTCACACGTGTGCTCACTCACACTCTGTCTGCCACGCTCGTGCCTCATGCCTGAACCAAGTGCAGTGCAAGTAGCATGCCCCTCTCTTGATGGTATTTGGTTGATTTCTTAGAACTGCCAATTACTAACATGGTCTTGAAAAATTTCCCCACTCACTTTCGATTCACGCTGTCTGCCTCTAGCATCACACCTTACGCCAGAAACAAGCCGCCTTGCGCCATATCCCCCCTCATCCTCCTGGTCTACAGGGCCTGTACGTGATGAACCCCAACAAGTTCCGCGCGTGCGAGTACCTGATCCGCTTCCACGAGGAGCAGAGGGGGGCAGGACAGTAATCCCTCAAGCCACGTTCCCCCTCCTCTTACCTGCCACCCACACCCCAGGGTTTGTACGTGATGAACCCCAATAAGTTTTGCGCATGCAAGAACCTCATTCGCTTCCACGAGGAGCAGAGGCAGGACAAGGTCACGCAGCACTTTCCAGTGTACCCAGAAAAACCCAGAAGTACGCCAAGCCGACTCAAAGCAATTCGTCCACCCATTCCCCTCCCTGCCCGTTCTCCCTCCCTCCCTCCCTTCTACCTCCCTCCAGGGCCTGTATGTGATGAACCCCAACAAGTTCCGAGCATGCGAGTACCTGATTCGTTTTCACGAGGAGCAGAGGCGAGACAAGATCATTGTGTTTTCGGACAACCTGTTTGCTCTGGAGCAGTATGCGCGGAAGCTCAACAAGCCCATGATCTACGGCCCTACCAGGTGATGCACGGGCCCACCAGGTGATGCACGGGCCTACCAGGTGATGCACGGGCCTACCAGGTGATGCACGGGCCTACCAGGTGATGCACGGGCCTACCAGGTGAAGCCTGTGCTTGAAAAACAACATACTTGCCAGGTGGGTCGTGACTCACAAGGCGCATACATCATCGTGTTTTCGGACAACCTGTTTGCCTTGGAGCAGTATGTTTGTATGACTTTTGAGAATTCTCAAAAGTCATACAAATATAGTTTGCCTTGGAGCAGTATGCCAGGAAGCTGAACAAGCCCATGCTTTACGGCCCCACCAAGTATGTGTGTGGCTGGTGAGGCGCATTTTGAGGCGCCTCAAAGTGACGCGCTTCAAATACTGCTATTAGGGCTGCCGTTTCGTTTGAGACAACCTAGTTGCTCTATGCTTTCAAGAAACGACTGCTGTTGAGTCAATTCACAAACCCCTCCTTTCCTTTTCCCTTCTTCCCCTCCAGCCATGCAGAGCGCACTCGAGTGCTCTATGCCTTCAAGAACAGCCCCAACGTCAACACCGTCTTCCTCTCCAAGGTACCGCCCTTTGTTTCCATGCTGTAGCTTGGAGTACCGTCCATGCACAACCTGCTGTGACCCTCACTCACTTAGCTTCATCCACACAAATCGCACCCGAGTGCTCTATGCCTTCAAGAACAGCCCCAACGTCAACACGGTTTTCCTCTCCAAGGTACCTCCTTCCTTCCCTGTACACATGCCTTCTCAATTATTCCCACAGAAACCAACCCCCTGACGTGCGTCTCCTCTTGCGATGCTCTATGCCTTCAAGAACAGCCCCAATGTCAACACCGTCTTTCTCTCTGAGGTGCTTCCCTTCCTTGTACGCGTGCCTCTGCTATTCCAACACAAAGCACCCCCTTGGGTTGGGAGCCTGTGTATCCAGATGACAATGCTTCCATCCCCCCCTCGCCTCTTCACGCTTCTGTTCCGCTCGCCGTCTCCTTCCCATCCCATCCCCTCCCATCCCAACCCACCACTCTTTTTCACCGTCCCATCCCATCCCATCCCAACCATAGGTGGGCGACAACTCTATCGACATTCCAGAGGCGAACGTGATCATCCAGATCTCATCCCACGCGGGGTCAAGGAGGCATGAGCCACAGCAGTTGGGGCGGCTTTCATCGTCTCTAAGTGGCATTTCCCTCTGTTTCCCCCTGCGCCACTCTTCACTGATCCACTCCTCCCCTCCTCCCTCCCATCCCACCAAAGGTGGGGGACAACTCGATTGACATTCCAGAGGCCAACGTGATCATCCAGATCTCATCCCACGCGGGGTCAAGGAGGCAGGAGGCGCAGCGGCTGGGGCGCATTCTGAGGGCCAAGGGGCGGAAGGAGGACCGGATGGCGGGCGGCACGGAGCACTACAATGCGTTCTTCTACTCGCTGGTCTCGACCGACACTCAGGTGATTTTCCAGGTGGTTTCAACAGGGCCCGGAGTTGAGGAAGGAGGACCGCATGGGGGGTGGCACGGAGAGCACAGCAACACGTTCTTCTACTCGCCTCTGTCAAGTGACATGCAGGTGATTCTTCAGGCGGTTTCAACAAATGTGTGGTGTTTTGGTCGTCGAGAGGCTATCTTGTCACCTGTTACCTTCTTCAGGATATGGCTTCGCATGTTTACTCATCAAAGTGCTTTTATGTGTTTGTGTGTGCTTGTACGTGCGTGTTTGTGGGCTTGTGCGTGCGTGTATGTGTGTGCGTGTATGTGTGTGCGTGTATGTGTGTGCTTGTATGAGCAGGAGATGTATTACTCGTCCAAGAGGCAACAATTCCTCATTGATCAAGGTTACTCCTTCAAGGTAATGGGCACACACACACACACACACACACACACACACACACACACACACACACACACACACACACACACACACACACACACACACACTGCTGCTGCTATGCAGAAAGTTGAGGGTTTTCTCATGTTCTTACAGCATGTGGCATGCACCGTTTGCCATGTATCATCTACCGGTTGTGATGTGCCATCCTCCATGCACCAGCCACCATCCACCATGCACCATGCACCATGCGCCATGCACCATGCGCCATGCACCATCCACCATGCGCCATGCGCCATGCGCCATGCACCATGCGCCATGCACCATGCGCCATGCACCATGCGCCATGCACCATGCGCCATGCACCATCCACCATGCGCCATGCGCCAGGCGCCATGCACCATGCGCCATGCACCATGTGCCATCCACCATGCGCCATGCACCATGCGCCATGCACCATGCGCCATGCACCATGCGCCATCCACCATGCGCCATGCACCATGCGCCATGCACCATGCGCCATCCACCATGCGCCATGCACCATGCGCCATGCACCATGCGCCATGCACCATGCGCCATGCACCATGCGCCATGCGCCATGCGTCATGCACCATGCGCCATGCACCATGCGCCATGCACCATGCGCCATCCACCATGCGCCATGCACCATGCGCCATGCACCATGCGCCATCCACCATGCGCCATGCACCATGCGCCATGCACCATGCGCCATCCACCATGCGCCATGCACCATGCGCCATGCACCATGCGCCATGCACCATGCGCCATGCACCATCCACCATGCGCCATGCGCCATGCACCATGCGCCATGCACCATGCGCCATGCACCATGCGCCATCCACCATGCGCCATGCACCATGCGCCATGCACCATGCGCCATGCACCATGCGCCATCCACCATGCGCCATGCACCATGCGCCATGCACCATGCGCCATGCACCATGTGCCACGTGTCATGTTCCGTCTCACCCACCATCCCACCATCCATCCCAACACTCCTGCCTCTACCCATACCACAAAGGTGGTAACATCGCTGCCCCCACCAGGGGAGGGGGACGACCTCTGCTACACGTCCAAGCAGGAGCAGCTTGATCTGCTCTCCACGGTGAGTGCCCTCTCCCTGTCTTCAGTATGTGGCATGAGACTAGTGGCGGTTTCCTGTTTATCACGTCTCTTTGTGCCATCCCTTTAAGTGCTCAGCGCAGGCGACGAGGCACGGAGGGAGGAGGTACTGGCAGAGGACTAAGCCGATCTGAGCCACGTGCCGAGTTGCACATCTCCTTTTTCACATTCCGCCCCTCTCTCTCTCCCCTCAGGTGCTGAGTGCAGGCGACGAGGCACTGAGGGAGGAGGTACTGGCAGAGGACTATGCCGATCTGAGCCACGTGCCGACCAGCGGCCCTTGCCCTTCTGGGTTTGTGTTCCCTTCCCCTCTCTCTCCCCCCGTCACCAGGTGTTGAGCGCAGGGGACGAAGCACTAAGGGAGGAGGTACTAGCGGAGGACTATGACGACCTGAGCCACGTGCCCACCATCGTGAGGCGCTCCGCTGCTTCCATGAGCGCCATGTCCGGCGCGCAGGGGCGGTCTTACATGGAGTTCAGGTGGGTGACCACTCAAGCACATGTGGACCCTTGGTCAATCAACATGTTACGTGCATCTATCATCAATCATCGTGAGGCGCTCTGCTGCTTCCATGAGCGCCATGTCCGGCGCGCAGGGGCGGTTGTACATGGAATTCAGGTGGGTGAACTTCAATTACATGTGGATTGGATTTATTGTCATGGCGTGTGGATCTATGTTACACCATCGTGAGGCACACCGCTTCTTTCACGAGCACCATGTAAGGCGTGCAGGGGCGGTCATACTTGGAGTTCAGGTGGGGTGAGGTTGCAGCTGGTGCAGGGAGTGCATGCAGGTACCGGGTATGGGGGATAAAACACTTGGATGCTCCATGAGTGCAGTGTGAGACGTGGAGCTTACGAGAGTACAGGTGTACTACGGTATATGTACCTAATTTGAAATACACTAGGTGCAGTTGAGCTCAAATGTGTTGCATGAAGTGCGTCTTTGAGGTTTCCCAAATGAAGTGTAGTAAGCAGTTTCTTTCCTTTGTCTTATTTGAGTTCTCTCGCCACATCATCCTTCTTTTCCTGTTGCCTTTCACCTAACAGCACTGGCAGGGGTGGGGGAAGGGGAGGAGCGGGAGCAGGGAGAGGGGCAGCAAAGCCCAAGGATCCAGCAAAGAGGCATTCTCTCTTCAAGCAGCGCTACCGATAGAAGAACACAGAGCTTTGCAGCATTGGTTTCAGTAGAAGCATACTTCTTTACAGTTGTTGATCAATGCAGACTGGCTTGAAGCCCTGACTGTTCAATTCAACAAGGTTCGCTTCCTTGTTATGATACGACGTGATTTAACATAGAAGCAAGCAACATTCATGGGTGAAGGGATTGTGCGAAAAGTCTACTGTAATAAGGTCACTGTGTCGCACTGCTGCAGCCCATTCTCAAAGAAAGGTATACGGTACAGTACTTTGCCTGTTGGTTCATTCTGAACGGAGGCATTGACAGAGGAGTTAACTTCGTGCGGGGGAATTCATATGATTAGGCAATGATTGACAGGTGTAAGGAAAATTCCTTTTCCTTACTTCGCATCCCTGCTCAACGCGTACATCACTGTAGCACCACAGTCAGCACCGTTACCACTCGCAACCCTCGCATCGACAATCCGCCCGCCACCTTCGCACATCGCACCCCAACCTCACGGCTCGGCGGGTAACCCGCGCTCCGGGCCTCCGCTTCGACACTTTTTCCCAGCCTCAGTCCCAAGCCCGTCGCGCGACAACCACAGTCCAGAACCGTTACCACTGTAGTTTTGCTATATATTCTTCGCTCATGCCTTCGCTCATTGTACTCTTGCTTCGATAGTGCAATTCTCGTTCGTTCACTCAATTGCACTCATAACTCTTGGTATTCAGAGCCTACGATCTCCTCTCGGACCGGACCCACACCTTCGCTTCCCCACTATCTCAATTTTTGGGGGGGTTAGACGTCTCTCAGCGACACAGCACCGCCGCTCGTAGTGCTCTCTCGTAAGCACGCACGGCCACGACCGAGGCTCTCACTGAGCTCGCCCGACACCCCCGCCATGGCCGAATTCACGCTCGCCACATTGACGCAGGAGCAGCTCGACCGTCTGGTGCGCCAACTTGAAGATTCGGCGCTCGAAATTGCGACGCTCACAGCGGAACATGACTCCGCGCGTCAGCAATCAACGATGAACACTCCAGCGCCACCACACGCACCGACAAATGCATCTGCACAATCAGACGAGCCGATCATCATCTCGTCCGGCACACCAACACAAAACAACAGCGTGGGACAGCGCTCAGGCGCAGCCAACGATGGCGCCGCCCAGCCGATGCCTGGCATGGGAGGAAACAGGGTCGCACCAAGCCCGCGGGAGCCTCGCGAAGCCCGTCGGCACATGGAGTTCGCGGCGACAAGTGGCGAACAGGCCATTATGGCACCAATGCCACTCAAGCCGCAACGCCCGCCCTGCTTCGACCCGAGCCAGCGTGGAGGTCCGACAGTTCAATCGTGGGTCTTCACGATGAACGTCTTCTTCGACGTGAATTACGTCGAGTCGGACGCAGCGAAGATTCGGTATGCCGTTTCGCTGCTAAGGGGCCCCGCCATGGACTGGTGGCGAGTCATCGTGACGTCGCCACGCGCCTACAAGCCACCGTCGCAAGAGGAAGGGCCCATGGGTCCAGCTGTCACCTGGAGTTCATTCTGCGAGACCGCCCAATACAGCACGTGGGATGCGTGGTGCGCAGGGCTTCGGGCGCGCTTCGAGCCGATCGCGGCTTCTATTTCGGCGCGTCAGAGATTGCGCACTTGGCGGCAGCTTGGATCGGTTCAAGACTATACGAGTGGTTTTCTCGCATTATGCGAGCAAGTCGGCTACATGCACGAAGCGGAGCGGGTGGACCGTTACGTCGGAGGGCTGAAGCCGGACATCTCGCACGAAATCATGCTACGCGGGCTCTCGAACTTCAACGAGATTCTCGCGCTCGCCGAGAAAATCGACATTTTACGCTGTCCGAGACCGAGGTCCTACTATGGACATCGTCCTCGGGGACCGATCGAGCACGCCACGGTACACGCTGTTGCGACGAATGCAACTGCCGCGCCGTTTAAGGGGCGCTGCTTTGCTTGCAACAGGCCGGGCCATCGCAAGAGGGAATGCCCAAAGGAGCTAAGGCGCCGCGGAGCAGAGCAGGGGAGGGAGTCTCCAAAGCAGGGAAACGCCAGCAGTCAGTAGGAATCGGGCCAACTACTGACGAGACTGCCTGCTCGCCCAACCCCACCGACCCTCACCGAGTCACAGTACCGATTCATGCTATCGATCGGACTCGGACGAATAAGGAGGGTACGGCGACGGATTGCCCAGTACTGATCCACGGGAAAATACAGGGAGTAGCAGTGAAGATTTTTATTGACGGAGGAGCAAGCCACAGTTTAGATAATACCGCAACCGCACGAAAACTGCAGCTGACACTTAGCCGTTGCTTACCGGAGATAGACGCACGCTTAGTCGACGGCACGCCACTAGCCATACGGGAAAAGGTAGAAAGAGTCAAAGTCCGCTGCGGGGGAAATTTCGGGTTAACACAGGAAATTCTCGCAACAACACTGGATGGGCACGATATTTTACTGGGACGTGATTGGCTGCGACGGTATAACCCGCGAATTGACTGGACGACGGGTAGTTGCACCGTGCGAAGTAGTGGTAACTGGGTCGAGCTACCTCGCTGGCAGTCGCCCGAGTCTTCAACGGTACACGTCAACGCCATCACAATGAAACGGGCTGTCGCTGCTGGAGCTGACGTGTACGCAGTAGACATCGCAGCAGTAGAGGAAGCAGAGCAGGCGAGTGATTTCAAGAAACTGCTGGCAGCCGTACCGCCCGAATTACGAGAATTGTTGAAACGATACCCCGGGATTTTCCCCGACGACTTACCGGAAGGACTGCCACCTCAGCGAGCACATGACCACCGAATCGAATTAGAACCGGGGGCACAGCCAACCGTACAGCGCCAGTTCAGACTGACACAGCCCGAGCTCGACGAACTAAGGAAGCAGTTAGATTACCTGTTAGAGAAAAAATTCATCAGACCGAGCTCGTCACCGTTCGCCGCACCGATACTGTTCACGCCGAAAAAAGACGGGGGTTTTCGCATGTGTATCAACTACAGAGCACTGAACATGGTAACACTCAAGTCGCGGTACCCCATTCCCCGCGCCGACGAACTGATCGACCAACTGCGAACAGCACGGGTTTTTTCGAAAATAGATTTACGGGGAGGTTACCATCAGATAGGGGTCAAACCATCGGAATGCGCCAAAACAGCTTTCAAGACTAGGTACGGGTCGTTCGAGTACACTGTGATGCCATTCGGGCTGACCAACGCACCGGCGAATTTTCAGATGACCATGATCATCGCTAAACGCAACGCCAACCGCCACCGCAGACCTGTCACTTACCAGCCCGACGACTTAGTTTTACTTGACACTCAGAACCTCCGACTGCCCACCACCCCGAAACTCCGCCCCCGATACTGCGGGCCGTTTCGCATAAGCCACATGCTTACACCCGTCACCCCCCACCTCCTCCTCCCTGCTGACTGGTACGTCAGCCCCTCATTCCACGTCAGCCTACTTCGCCCTTACGTCCCGTCCACGAGCCAACTGCCACGCAATCGCCCAGCCAGCATGACAAGACCACCAACTGAACCAATCATCACCCCCGAGAAAATCCTGAGTCACAGAGTTCGCGACCCTCGAGGAGCCCGAAGGATCGAGTTCTTACTCCGCTGGAAGGATCGTACACCCACCGAAGACAATTGGGTTCCCCTGGACAGAATCGAAACCACCCCGTCCTCACCGAGTATCTGCGCATCCAAAATTTCAGGGATCTACACGCACTTTCGTAAGGAGGACCTCCTTAGGGGGGGGGGGGGGTAGTGTAAGGAAAATTCCTTTTCCTTACTTCTCATCCCTGCTCAACGCGTACATCACTGTAGCACCACAGTCAGCACCGTTACCACTCGCAACCCTCGCATCGACAATCCGCCCGCCACCTTCGCACATCGCACCTTGACCTCACGGCTCGGCGGGTAACCCGCGCTCCGGGCCTCCGCTTCGACACTTTTTCCCAACCTCAGTCCCAGGCCCGTCGCGCGACAACCACAGTCCATTACGGTACCGTTGTTGGGCTGAGTGCCCCTTAGGATCTTTGGTAGGGTTAATCTCTGGGTAGAATCATGTAGTAGCGGAAGCGTTAACAAAGAGATTCTGAACCACCTTGCGCTAGTATGTGAGGGCAAAGTAAGTTGATTGAAGCAAAGAGATACAAGAATATATAAGAGTACAAGGAATGTGAAGAGATACGGTTGTAACTACTTTTACTGTTGCTGTTGCGGTTCGATACAGTGACGACTCGGGCAACTGCTCTGTAGCGAGTCAGTTGTGTGTCCTTGCTGTCGCGCTGTACTTGTCAGGTCAAAGGTCGCTGACCTTTGACTTTCGAGTAACCTCCAGCGGTTGCTTCAACCTCCTAGGGTTGACTCGCCGGTGCTTCGGTATGCTTCGCTTCTCTTGTGCCTTAGTGTTTCGACACGACAGAGGCGCTTAGGACCGATTGTTTCCAACACTCCCCTTCGCTTTTGGAGTGTCGCTGACGTGGCTCTGTCCAGTCAGCAGCATGCAATATTCGAATTTCTGCTTTCCGAGCTTCTTGGTCAGGTAGTCAGCTGCCATTTCGGACGTGGGGCAGTATGACAGCTCGAGCCTTCCCTTCTCGATCTCGTCCTTCACGAAGAAGTATCGCAGGGCGATGTGTTTCGTCCTGTTCGCAAAACCGTTCTTGTTGGCGATGCGAATTGCCGACCGGTTGTCGCAGAACAGGGTAAAGTTGGGTAACTCGGCTAACTTCGCTTCTTCCAGCAGCTCGCAAAGATAGAGTCCTTCCTTGGTGGCTGAGCAGAGTGCAATATATTCTGCGTCAGCTGACGAGAGAGCAATTAGTTCCTGCTTGCTCGATTGCCAGGAGATAGGCCCGATAGGCTCGAAGCGATAGATGTAGCCGGTGCGTGATCGTCTGTTGTCGGAGTCGCCCGCGTGATCTGCGTCGACGTAACCAATTAAATTAGGTGGCGTGGTCGCGTTCTTGTGATATGTTAAGCCGATCGTTGGCGTACTGACAAGATAGTGTA